ATATGATTCACGCTCGACCTTTCGGTCTCCGTGTTCCGAGGCCATATCTGCATATGCTAGGCTCGTCAAGTTTAACCTGAGTATTCTGCGTGTGCAACTGTTTTGCACCCGTTGTATTTGAACGTAGAGCCTATCACACCCGATCATCATGTGGTGTCTCAGCACGAAGAACTTTCGCAACGGTGCATACTCAGGGAGAACACTTCTTGATAATTTAGTGAGAGATCATCTTATAATGCTACCGTCAATCAAAGCAAGATAAGATGCATAAAAAGATAAACATCACATGCAATCAATATAAGTGATATGATATGGCCATCATCTTCTTGTGCTTGTGATCTCCATCTCTGAAGCACCGTCATGATCACCATCGTCACCGGCGCGACACCTTGATCTCCATCGTAGCATCGTTGTCGTCTCGCCAATCTTATGCTTTCACGACTATCACTACCGTTTAGTAATAAAGTTAAGCATTACATCGCGATTGCATTGCATACAATAAAGCGACAACCATATGGCTCCTGCCAGTTGCCGATAACTTGGTTACAAAACATGATCATCTCATACAATAAAATTCAGCATCATGCCTTGACCATATCACATCACAACATGCCCTGCAAAAACAAGTTAGACGTCCTCTACTTTGTTGTTGCATGTTTTACGTGGCTGCTACGGGCTTAAGTAAGAACCAATCTCACCTACGCATCAAAACCACAACGATAGTTTGTCAAATAGACTCCGTTTTAACCTTCGCAAGGACCGGGCGTAGCCATACTTGGTTCAACTAAAGTTGGAGAGGCAGTCGCCCGCAAGCCATCTCTGTGCAAAGCACGTCGAGGGAACCGGTCTCGCGTAAGTGTACGCGTAAGGTTGGTCCGGGTCGTCTCGTCCAACAATACCGCTGAACCAAAATATGACATGCTGGTAGGCAGTATGACTTGTATCGTCCACAACTCACTTGTGTTCTACTCGTGCATATAACATCAACATCATTAACCTAGGCTCGGATGCCACTGTTGGGTTTCGTAGTAATTTCAAAAATTTTCCTACGCGCACACAGGATCATGTGATGCATAGCAACGAGGGGAGAGTGTTGTCTACGTACCCAACGCAGACCGACTGCGGAAGCGATGACACGACGTAGAGGAAGTAGTCGTACGTCTTCACGATCCAACCGATCAAGCACCGAAACTACGGCACCTCCGAGTTCGAGCACACGTTCAGCTCGATGACGATCCCCGGACTCCGATCCAGCAAAGTGTCGGGGAAGAGTTCCGTCAGCACGACGGCGTGGTGACGATCTTGATGAACTACAGCAGCAGGGCTTCGCCTAAACTCCGCTACAGTATTATCGAGGAATATGGTGGCAGGAGGCACCGCACACGGCTAAGGAACAGATCACGTGGATCAACTTGTGTCAACTTGTGTGTTTAGAGGTGCCCCCCCGCCCCCGTATATAAAGGAGGGAGGGAGGAGGAGGCCGGCCTAGGGAGGAGGCGCGCCATAGGGGAGTCCTACTCCCACCGGGAGTAGGATTCCCCCTTTCCTAGTCCAACTAGGGATCCTTCCATGTAGTAGGAGTAGGAGACTAGGAAGGGGAAGAGAGAAGGGAAGGAAGGAGGGGGTGCGGCCCCTCCCCCTAGTCCAATTCGGACTAGGCCTTGGGGGGGCGCGCGGCCTGCCCTAGGCAGCCCCTCTCTCTTTCCCGCAGGGCCCAATAAGGCCCAATACTTCTCCCCGGCGAATTCCCGTAACTCTCCGGTACTCCGATAAATACCCGAATGACTCGGAACCTTTCCGAACTCCGAATATAGTCGTCCAATATATCGATCTTTACGTCTCGATCATTTCGAGACTCCTCGTCATGTCCCCGATCTCATCCGGGACTCCGAACTCCTTCGGTACATCAAAACTCATAAACTCATAATATAACTGTCATCGAAACCTTAAGCGTGCGGACCCTACGGGTTCGAGAACAATGTAGACATGACCGAGACACGTCTCTGGTCAATAACCAATAGCGGGACCTGGATGCCCATATTGGCTCCTACATATTCTACGAAGATCTTTATCGGTCAGACCGCATAACAACATACGTTGTTCCCTTTGTCATCGGTATGTTACTTGCCCGAGATTCGATCGTCGGTATCCAATACCTAGTTCAATCTTATTACTGGCAAGTCTCTTTACTCGTTCTGTAATACATCATCTCACAACTAACATCTTAGTTGCAGTGCTTGCAAGGCTTATGTGATGTGCATTACCGAGAGGGCCCAGAGATACCTCTCCAACAATCGGAGTGACAAATCCTAATCTTGAAATACGCCAACCCAACATCGACCATTGGAGACACCTGTAGTACTCCTTTATAATCACCCAGTTACGTTGTGACGTTTGGTAGTACCCAAAGTGTTCCTCCGGTAAACGGGAGTTGCATAATCTCATAGTCATAGGAACATGTATAAGTCATGAAGAAAGCAATAGCAACATACTAAACGATCGGGTGCTAAGCTAATGGAATGGGTCATGTCAATCAGATCATTCTACTAATGATGTGACCTCGTTAATCAAATAACAACTCATTGTTCATGGTTAGGAAACATAACCATCTTTGATTAACGAGCTAGTCAAGTAGAGGCATACTAGTGACACTCTGTTTGTCTATGTATTCACACATGTATTATGTTTCCGGTAAATACAATTCTAGCATGAATAATAAACATTTATCATGATTATAAGGAAATAAATAATAACTTTATTATTGCCTCTAGGGCATATTTCCTTCAGTGCCCCGGAGCCCCTCAGCTCTTCCATGATGTGGAGGCTCGCCCGCCATCTTCCTTGAAAACTGGAGGTCCGGCCACATCCGACACTCCTCGGCATGGCATCCTTCTGCTGGTGTGTGGCTTGAACCCACAAATTGTTACTACTTACCAAGTTACCCCCAATGCGAAACCTAACGTTAGTGTATATTACTTCTAATCATTTTTTATCACACCCTCATGCATCATTAGAACCAAAAGAACATCAGCTAAAAAATAGAATCAATGAACATGTACTTGTGAAAGAGAAAAAAAGCAAGATGAAACCAATATACAGTTTTTGAAGCCTTCCCAAGCCAACCAAGGCCATGCTGACGTTGATTGTTCCGTCTGCATCGCCATGGAAGTCGCATAGCCATCCTGCATTGCTACCCAACCCAATGCCTGGAACACACACAGGCCATCGTCGTGATCCTCCCAGCAGCTGGCATGTGATCTCCACACCAACCATAACTTCCGTCGTCTCCACTCCACCACATCTTGCGCCTGGTCTCTCGCCAACCAAGTTAACTTACTGACAGTCTCATCCCCTTCCAAGCGAGGGCCAGCACGCCCTTGCAAGCATCCGCACTGGAGTGTCCGACCATCCTGCGTTTCATTGGATCGAGCCCCTGGCAACCACCAGTATCGTGACTTCAGGGAGAGATAGGAGACGATGGTGCGGCGCCGGATCGGGAAGAGATGGGAAACGGGGCGGCGGTGCCGGGAGAGCTCCATGAACGGGATATGAGCCCACCCTCGCCGCAGCCACCGTGGACTGCCCTCGGATACGCCAACCCCGGCGCCGGGGGTGGCCCCTCCCCGTTGCTGATGTCACCGCCCAGCCGTCCGCCCCTAGCCCGGATTCCCGTCCTCGCACTCCTGAACATCCTCTCGATAACCGCACTGCTCCAGCATGGTCTCGAGCGTCCTTCGCCGTAGCTGCAGCTCCAGGGCCTCTGAGGCCGCCCTTCGCATATTCGCCGACGACATGGAGGCCGCAGGCTCCATCGAGAACCCTAGGCGCACGCGATGGATGGCGGCCGGCTGGCTTCAATTCGCGGCTGGGGAGGAAGAGGGACATAGGTTCGTAGGTTTCAGTCACGCTGGTTTTTCTTGCTTGTTTCTTTTGTGCGTGCAGAATCGTGGGGAATCCTCGGGGATTGTGCGATCGAGGTTTGGGAGTAGGAAGCGAAGATACCACCTACCAACTGAGTAGAGATCAGAAAAGGTAAGAATCAACGTGTTAGGAAAGTTAGGATTTGAATTGATTTCCATGAAAATGGGTTTTATTGTTTGTAACGTGATATCAATACCTGCCCGTTTGTGACATGCCTACCAACTGAGTAGAGATTAGAAAAGGTAAGAATCAATGTGTTAGGAAATTAGGATTTGAATTGATTTCCATGAAAACGGGTTTTATTGTTTGTAACATGATATCAATACCTGCCCGTTTGTGACATGCATGGTTAGGAAAGTTTGCAATTGTTAAGAAAGTTTTTAATGGGAGAGTGAAAAAAATCACCGTGAGGATATAATAATGGAAGGTGAGACAAAAATAAACCAGACGAAAAAAACGACGAAAAAAAATCTACGAAGGTTAACCTACGAAAAAAACCGGACGAAAGTGGTGGGACGAAAATTGACCGGTGGAGACTACCAACTGCTTCATTAGGAATAGAGATTCGATGTTTCTTTATTAATGAACTAGTCAATGTGTACTTGCAATGCATATTAATTAGGAAGTAAATCAATTGCATGAGGTTATTAAGTACACTATTATCTGTAGGATTAAATCAAGATAACAACGCTAAACGTGTTGAATACTAACAGTTTAGGTCGTTGGATTGACTTGGTTTGACGACCGAAGGTAGTTGAATCTATATATTTGATTTTTTTATGTCGGTATGGATATAGATATAGATAATTAGTGTTCAATTATTATTTGTCGGATTAGATCGAGATTAGAGAGTTTCTTAAAGAAAAAAGATCGAGATTAGAGCAGGTCCTCTTCCAGGACTGACATGGTCGCCACATATGCGCGTCCTTAAAAAAAGACTTCTTCGATCAAAAAAAGGGGAAAATAGGTGGAAAAAAGAGACGCGGACCCACACACTCGACGCGGACGCGAGTCCATCGATCCCCAAACCGTCTGCCGGCCTCCCCGGTGCAGAGGCGGCGGCGCACGAGGCGAGAAAGATGCCGAGGGCCGTCAGGATCCGCGGCGACGAGCCGGAGACGGAGCGGAGAGCGAAGAGGCGAAACGTGGCAGGGGAGGAGGAGGAGGAAGGGACAGCTCTCCGCTCCACGAGCCCTAGATCTCCCGGCGACCGCGTGGATCGGAGGAGGAGGAGGAGGAGGAGGAGGAAGGGAGCTGTTCGGACTTCCCACCCAGAGATGCTCTTCGCGGTCTTCGAGCCTGACAAAGATCAATCAGAAGGAAAACAAGGTGATTTTCCCTCCACGTTCCAACATCTTATCCTCCTCGTCACGATGCTTACTCGTTCGTTGTCTTCTGTAGATCGTGTGTACGATGTGGACGAGTCGGTGACGGAGGAATCCTCCGATCCACCCAGCCCTCCGATCTACGAACCCTACATCCCCGACGAGCTGGTTGATGATCCGGACATACTCGCTGCCTTCGACTACGCCAAGGCCAATTACGAAGCAGAAAAGTGTAAAATCCCCATCCTTTTCTCTTCTTCTCATCGCTAATTTCCGGCCTGATGTTAACTTAATTGTCTTCTTTTGGTAGCTCGTCGAGCTAACCTCTTCACTATGGATCACTACGGTTATGAAGCACCTTCTTGCTTGTTCGATGACCATCGCTTTCTACCTATTCGTGAACGGGCAACGGGTGCAGTACTTCTTGCTGCTAAATCCGTCGTTTTACTGTCATCATTTCTAGGTGTGTATGTAACATCATAATTGCTTCTAAATTAGTACTTCCTCTGTTGAGTTAGTACAAAGTTGAGACACTTATTTTGGGACGGAGGGAGTACTATATGCTAGTCGACCAAATGTGTGTGACTTTTGGTTGCTTTGCAGGGAGTCAGCCACTCAACAAGTGTTGTGGTTTGTGGTTTCAAAGGAACGACAGAAGCAAAACCGCCCATGTTTTGACGTCTGCGCATCTCATTCGTGAAAAGAATCCCTCCGTGAAGAACCATTGGAAATCGCAGTGGATAGGAAAATATCATCGTGGCGCTGAGGTGACCTTCTTAACAACATTCACTAGTTGGCGTGTAGGAGCCTTGCACTTCTATACAAGGAAAACTAATAATTCAGCAGTCTATTTATTTACCCGCACGGCTCACTATTGATTGTTTTCATTTGTTTGTTTGTTTGTTTGTTTGTTCTCTCTATGATTAAATTATTTGTAATGCATCTGTTGCTAAACCGTAGACTAGTTACAAAGTAAGTGTGTCATCATCTTCAACTTTCCCAAAAGAGAAACTGGACTAGTATTTATTTATACACTCTGTGTACTAACAAAAGATTTTATTCTGCTGCTTGACTTTCATGATAGTTGACTTCTAAAAAATATTTTCGTCAATATGAGATCTCTAAAAAATGTAGCATCATAACTTTTACCGCCGTTGTTTTAGGTCAATGTTCACTTCCTCGACAAAAGAGTTGTACCAGGCCAACTTGTCTATCTTCAGGAGCATTATGAACTTGCTCTTTATGAGGTTAAAGTGAATAAACCAGTTCAGCTGCCCACTTTTAATGACTGTGTGCGTTCTGGTAAAGATGTTTTTCGACTTGGAAGAGATGAAAATCTAGATCTGAAGATAACACATGGTATGGCAGCCTATGAGGTTCCATCTTGGTATGAAAGATGCCACTACATGTATTTTTGTCGTGATGCATCTAGTCGCAAACTGGTGCGTTATATCTCAAATTTATGTTTTTCTATTTCGATCTTGCTATCTTATTACTACAATCATAATATTTTATTACTCTTACTATGCTATAGCTTGCTGATGATGGAGGACCGATCATTGACTTAGAAGGGAAGGTTGTGGGTTTAGTTAATAATCATATCAATGAGACATTCATACCTTCGTCCATATTGCATAAGTGCTTCGATTTTTGGAGAAGATTCGAGTATGTATTTTCCTCATTTTCTCATAATTCTTTGTTACTACTTTTTTGTGATATACTTCGTCCGTTCCAAAATAAGTTGTGATTTTAGTTCAAATTTGAACTAAAACCACGACACTTATTTTGGAATGAAGAAAGAAGTACTAATGTCTTGTAAGAGTAATCGTGTTATGATCTTTTTCTTAAATTTGTGTGATACTTATTTAGCCTTTGTTTTATTTCTTACAGTTGTATGCCTCGCCTTCATCTTGGAATGACGTTCACTTCAATCAAGCATTTAGATCCTATCTCTATTGAGAGAATGACTCGAGATCATAACATCGAGTCCGGTCTTATTGTTGAACAGGTATATATTGTGGTGCTTATTTTATTTTTTCTTTCACTTTTCTAATAGTTTCTTCTAAAACCATTTCTCATATGCATATTATGTTGTAATAATGCTAAAAATAGGTGTCTAAAGGATCGCATGCTGAGAAAATTGGAATTCGTGAGGGTGATGTTATTGAAAGCTTTAATGGAAAGTACATTTCTACTACAATCGAGGTATGTGTATTGTGTATTTATTGAATTTCACTTTTTTCTGCATCTAGGCTTAGTTACACTCTAATCCACCTTAGATTAATCTCCCGTGTCCTATAATCGGTACCAAGTAATTTTGTATTCTTAATCAAATAATGACGTGCTCTTCAGAGTATCACCAAAGAACTAGAGGTCGGGGTAGACCGAATTTGACATGGGAGGAGTTCGTAAAGAGAGATCTGAAGGATTGGAGTATCACCAAAGAACTAGCTATGGACAGGGGTGCGTGGAAGCTTGCTATCCATGTGCCCGGACCATGAGTTGGTTGTGAGATCTTATGGGTTTCACCTCTAACCTATCCCAACTTGTTTGGGACTAAAGGCCTTGTAATGACGTGCTCTTTAGAGCACCTTCTTGATTCTTGGTTGGATAGGTCAACTTTCTGCACGGATGGTTATTCTCATTAGTTGGATCAGGCCACACCCATTGGTCAACCTCAAAGTAACCTCATGGCGCTTGTCATCTTAGTATTGAGCTTTCCCGGACTAAATTCCACTACAAAGTGCAAGTAGCTTGCTGACCCAATGATGTTGAGGGATGTAGACAAGCCTTGGTCCAAGAAATACTCGTGGTTTGTTTGCACTCAAAACGCGTGCCCTAGAGATATGGGTGCCAATGGCGCACTAGATGGACGATGTGAATCAACTCTCGTCCTTATGCAGCAACTTTGACGTGGCACGAGGCTATAAGGCGGCTGAAGAAGGCTGCAACTCGATCCGCCTTGGTGTAACACAAACCCCAAACTTAAGGTGTCGCGGTCAACGATGAATTGCTTTCAGAAATTCTTCATGTGTTGTACTGGTGTCATCGTGAGTGTTGCTTCAGTTTGTCAAAGTCAGTTGTCGCTTGAGCGGACGAACGATGCCCCTCTTTTTTTAAGAGCGCCATTAGGGGTTATAGCCCTGAAGTCGCAAATGAACTTGCGGTAGTATCCCACCAGTCCAAGGAATACATGCAAGACGATAATGGTTCATGGTGCCGGTCAATCCCTCACACTCTAAACCTTGGCAGGATCCATAGCTGCCCCCTTTGCTGAGATGATGTGGCTTAACATGCCATTGTTTCATCCCAAAAAATGCACTTGGGCCGTTTAAGCGCCATCTGATGCTACTACATCAACTGGAATACATCATGCACATGGCGTAGGTGGTCAACCCAAGATTTGCTACAAATCAAGATATATTAAGAAACACGGGGACAAATCTTTGTAAGAAGGGCCAAAGGACGACATTCATCAAGTCTTGAAATGTCAATGTAGCGTTTGTCAAGCCGAAAGGCATGGCTAGAAACTCAGCCTCCCATGGGTGCAGGATGCTGTCTTGCGGGTGTCATTGACGTGCATTATGATTTGGTGGTATCCCGAGCGCAAGTCGAACTTAGTGAAATAGCAAGCGACCTTGACTCCGTTGAGAAACTCGTCCACCAATGGGATGGGGAACTTGTCCTTGGGGGCGTGCTTATTGAGGGCGTAGTAGTTGATGCAGAAACTCCATGAGTCATCTTACTTCCTGACCAAAAGGATTGGGACTAAAATTCATAATGGCTCCTTCAAATCAATTCCTGATCTAGCATATTGGGGCATTGCTGCTCAATCTCGTCCTTTTGAGGTGTGATAGCGATATGGACGGACCACCGACGACGGTACTGAAAACCGTTAATAGTCCCAATAGGGCAGAGCGCGTGACCGGAAGTACTAGAAGGGATCGCACATGGGGGTACCTAAGGTTCGGACCCTTGTCTTGGAGATAATACCCTACTCCCGCTTTTGCTTTGATTGATGTGGGGAAAACGCCTCGTGTGAGGGGGTTACAATATGCATGGAGATGTTGCTATTGAGACTATGACTAGATGTCAGATGGCTCAAACTACCCCTAGGAGTCGCCTTATAAAGGGAGACGAGTCCTTGAGTTACACGGTTTGCTTACCAACCTAGAGCCCCAATCGGATGGATAGTCTCTGACTTGCATCAAAGGTTCGGATCTTCTGGAAACAAGGGGGGGCGCTTGGTGAGAGCCCCATGGGGTGGGCACCACCATATCGTGCACCGTCGGGTATGAGCCATCGGTGTTGTACACCGTCAACCAGCGTTGGAGCCACCCTTGTAAGGCACTACTAGGGAAAAGGCTAGCAGTAGCGCGGGTTTTAGGTATATCAGTAGCGCGGGTTTTAGGTATATCAGTAGTGCGGGGACCGGCGCTACTAATAAGGCGCTACACCTAACACGTACCAGTAGCGCGTGCTCACCAGCGCTACTGCTACACAAGTGTAGCAGCAGCGCGCTTCATGAAAGCTCGCTACTGCTAATAGCTCTAGTGCTCTTTGCCTGGACGCGCTACTGCTATCGTGGTGTTGTTGCTAACTTTTCTCCACTCGCTACTGCTAATTTTAGTAGTTTTTGTTTTTTTCTGCATATTTGTTTTGTATTTGAACAGGCTTTATAGAAGAATCTTTAGCAGATACAAATGTCATCATGATACACATACCAATGGCTGCGAGACAACAAACGTAATCATAGCATAAACATACAAATAGTCTCATCATAATCATCATCCAACACAAAGTGGTATCTCGTCATCATCTCGAAAATAGCGATACATGCAAGTCTCGAATACTTGCAACTACAACGTCATCCATCTAAACAATGGTATATGCGAGAAGAGCTATCACTATGAGTGAGAACGGAACTATGCAGTACATGAGGCGGCGGTTACGAGTCCTCTCTCGCGCTAGCGTGAACCTCAAGTAACTAGCTTCTCCTTCTTGTCTACATCCTCAACGACATAGCACCGCCATCTCGCCATCAAGAAACTAGGTACTTGTTAGAGATGCATGTTCATCAAGAGGATGTACAATCATATGCAACAAAATATATTAGAGCAACACGAAAAAGAAAGGGTTAATTAGCAACTAGATGCAACATACAGTACGCAAACTAATTAACTAGAGGTGCGCAGGTCGTCGTACCCAAACAAACAAAGCAGTGTTATGCAAGTTCGGCAGGGACCGTGGACATCGCAAAGTTTCATCGCTATAGAAAGTATACAAGTTCAATCGACACGTATCATCATCATCGGCATCGTAAATCACTAGAAGTTCCATCCTTCCATATCATCGAGGATGGACCCTAGCTTCTTGAACGGCGTGAGGTCTTGACGTTGCATGCCTATGCGAGTTCGGACGTCAGCTCGTGATATTGGGCCGTGGTGGAACATCCCCTTCTCATCGATGACTTCTTTCATGATGATCGCCGCAATGTCCCTTTGGATGCGAAAGAAGTCATCTCTAAGTTTATAATCCGCTTCTCCATGAGAGTCTAGCCACTTGTGGATATGTTCATCATTTCTGCTTGTCATGCAAAGCTTTTGGTGATCCGTGTTGAACTCAATCATGAGATGGAGGATGTAGAATCCATCCTTCTTGCTTGGTTTTGGGACATGGATGCAGCAGAAGTTAGTTTTATGCGCAAAACCCATCTTCTTGTTCCTTTGTTTCCTGATCTGCATGTGGCCACCTCTAATACTGAAGCCTTGAAGAGCATCATCTAGAATATTCATTATGTGGGTGTAGTCCTTCTCGTAGTCTCTGGAAGGGTCGAAATACATGGCGTGGGAGACTCGCTGGTAAAGAACAATAAGGACGGCGCGCCCGTTGCTGCGGGGAGAAGATACCTCAAATTATTCTTCATATGAGCAGAAGGAATGATTGAAATGTACGCAAGGGTTGTCCGGAACTGACTTACTTTTGATGATAAGGCAGGAGGACAATTTCCTGGTCCTTATTCTGTACCATGAAGTTTTGGAGGTAGTCCCTAGCAGTTTCACGCTCAAAGACACCGAGACTCAAGAAAGACTCGTGCATGTAGTATGGATCCGCCACACAGATTTGCGAGACTTCTTCTCTCTTCATGACGGAGCTCATATGTAGCGCAAAAAGGCGGACGATTATAAAATCGAGACGCCTTGTCAGAAACATCTAAAAAATATAGTCAAACCACAGGAAGAACACCTCCGTGGGCTGTGTGTCGACGTAGCACTTCCCCTCAGGCACACGAGCCGCGTATGTCGGATATCCTGGATCCTTCGAGGCTACTAGGCTTTTCTCAGTCGACAACACAAGGTTGTGCAGTCCTTGAGATCCCCTGATAGTGCCTCCAGCGGTTTGACGGTAGCATCGGCTCGCCCGTGAGATGGAACATGGCCGCACCTTTCACGGGTACACGCTCTTCAGAATCCATCATCTGGCTGCTATGTGCTCTGACTTGTTTGGAGGCAGCTATCTTCCCCCATCTCTTCCTCTCCTTTTTCTTGGGCACACCTTCCAGACCCTTCCTTAACCCCTGCCCCAGTGTTCCCGGGCTAAGCACTGTACGGCCCTCGGCTAGTTGAGCCTGTGTTGAGGCGGCATCTTCAGGCGTGTCCTGTGAGGATTTCATGAAGAGAGACTTTTTGCAATCCCTGCTACGACCTTCCTGCCTGGGTAGATCATCCATATCCTCATTAGCATGCTGATAGCCCAATTCGTCATATGGTTGACTCATCATATCTATGTCACAGTCATACGTGTTTGTATTGAGGAAACCCATTGGGTCGACCTCCGTCTCTTCATCCATTATATGTTCTACATGACCGATTACATCAGCCAGTACTATTGCACCCCCTTCATCACGTCGTCCGCCGCTCTCACCCGACACTACAAGAGCTGGTAATTGCGTAGGCGGGGTGGTGGTCTCTGCACATGGTTGTTGATGTGTGGTTATTGGTGTGCTCTCGGCCGGCTCCAGACGAATAAGATTCTTCGGCCATAGCAGCACCCAACCCTTGCAGTTTCCAATCCGCGGCGGGGTCTCGTCGTCCTCTCCCACAGGATATACTGGAGGAGGCAAATGCTCGTGCCCTGATTTCACACTGGACAAGCTAACCCTGAAGTGCCCAACGGGGATCGGTTGGTTGTGGAACGTGGGTTGC